TACATACATACATACATACATACATACATACATACATACATACATACATACATACATACATACATACATACATACATGCCTACATTCATAAATATTGTCCGTATATACACATATATACACACTCAGTGACCTGTCAGAACCCCCCGGATCAGAGCACCTGTTTGTGAGCAGTTGTGAACATGTGTGTATATACAAGATTTCTCCAATGGAATATTTAATAGTGACTGTGGAGGATCGGAGAACCAACCCCCAAGACACGAGGCAGACATAGGGAAGACCAGAGCCCAAGGGCCTAAGAGGGATCCCGAGAGCAGAGCCCCAAGGGGCACCCGCACGGTGCTCTGAGCTAGCAGTTAGCACAAAATGGTCAGCTATTTTTCAATCATCTCTCACAGCATTAAACCACAACCACCCTAACCAAAGTCAACTTCATTTAAAGCTTAAAGCGTTTAAACTAGTGAGAAAAAAGTTTGCTGACTTACCTCAATGTGCTTTCTCAGGTTAGATGGTGAGTTATGGAATGCTGAAAGGTACTTTACCCGTGGTAAACAGAGAAGACATTTGAAGTGATACGTATCATTTTTAAGTCCTAAAACCTCAAACATTGAACTGAGATGTGGCCATGGGTGTGCTGGTTTCTCTCCTTGCGTTTCCTCAGTGGTCTCCATTACATCTTCTTCTTCTTTTGTCTGGTTCTGCTTGAAATGAAAGTAAAGTGATGGGAGCGCGCGCTCCGCTACCGAGAGTTAACGAGTGTGACRTAGGCTATAAGCTACGCATGTGATTGGTTACCTTTGTGACGAACATAGCTTGTGGCCAATTGCATTTCACGAAAAGAAAAACCGGAACAACAGATTTTTTTCTTTCTTTTTTTTTCAGCAGATTATAAAGCTATGCTGATATAAAAGGAACGAGTAACGACAAGCTTCCTAGAAATGTAGTGGAGTAAAAAGTACAATATTTGTCTTTGAAATGTAGTGGAGTAAAAAGTACAATATTTGTCTTTGAAATGTAGTGGAGTAAAAGTAAAAAGTTCCCAAATAAATAACTACTCAAGTAAAGTAGATACTCAAAAAATGTACTTAATTACAGTAATAAAGTAAAAGTACTTTGTTACTGTCCACCACTGAACATTTAATATAGTCAAGATGTTTTGTGTTTTTAACTTTGACATGTAAAAGATTTAATACTTGTTGTATTTTGTTTCAGTGCACTTTTTATAAAGGTTTTTTCATGTGGTACTCTGAGTTAGAAATGTTTAAATCTGCTGTTTTTCCGTTTTTCTCTCCACAGACAATGCAATAGAGGCCATAGATGAGTTTGCATTTCTTGAAGGTAAATAAAACCAAGGAAGATCTTACAAATCACTTCAAATTCATCTCTCCAAATATTTTCCGTTTTATGATGACAAGTACTTCGCTCAAAGTTGAATACAATTTTCTACATGATACACAAATACTCCTGCTGATGTTTGGTAATGTTTTATTTAGCTTCTTTTGCATGCAGTCATGTTGCACAATCATTTATTTTATTTATTTTCTCCACAGGCACGCTTGATTAAAGGGTTTTTTACGAGATCTCTTGAAAATTTCACTTCTGCAATCATCAGTCATTTCATTACAGAGAGAAACGTCTTGCTTCTTTTCTAAATCAAATTAAACAGATTGGATGTTCATTAGTCATGTTTTTATACAACTGGCCATCGAATTTGTTTTTGATAATGTGTACATGGATTTGTAAATATTTGTGTGATACTGCTGTACAATGAAATAAATGTGGTAAGGTTGTATCAGGTTTGAATCTCTGCATCATTCTTGTCTGGTTGTTACAACTTTAATTTAATTGACATCCCCTTGTATTGATGTAAACAGTGTCTGTATTACATCTAACCTATCATCACTCAGCACACTCTTCTTTTTCCAACAAGCCTGTATTCGACTATTGACTTGACGGATCGTTGAAAAATATTTTATATATATCACCACGTTCAAGATGAATTAACTCCAGTCTGATTCAATTTATTGCCTGACCTTAAAAATGATGGATCTGCTAGTTTTGTAATCTGATAAATTAGGTAAACAGGAACAGTCAGAGTGGGGAAACTTCAAAATGTTACAGAGATAATTCTAGATAATCTGAGCCAAAAATCCCAGCTGCTGTCCACATCTTTAGTGATATCTGCTTTATAGTAATGCCCCAAAAACATTTAAATAGTTTACTTTTTGTACTAAAAGTGTTAGATCAAACCTTAGAATTTACTATAATGAACTTTTTCTCCACATTTAAATGTTACCAAATAAGTTATTTTAATTGTTTTATCTCAGAGTTTAGAAGATTAGTTTACTTTTGCTGTGATGTCCTAAGTTTTGAAAAACTAAGCAATATAAAAATAGTGTAGCTGTAAAGTCATATAAAGCCATAATTTTCTGAAGTTTCCAGTTTAAAGACATAGGACATTCTTAAAATTAAATTGTTATAATCTGCTAAATAACACTCAAAATACTCTGCAGTTTTATTAGGTAACTGCATTTTGTGGTTGAGATCAGGAGAATCAGTTTGAAATAATGTTTTTAACTTGTCCTAAATTCTGAAGAAACATCTTAACGCTGGAGTTCATTGAGGTTTTTGCTCCTCGCAGTATTTAACGGGGTTGTTGCCTCGATTTATGAGGTCCCTGCAAAGTTTTCAGTCATCCCTGGTTTATTTGTTGTCGGTTCGTTTTGCTGATGTGTCCAGTTGCAGGACTCTGTTTAGGCCAAACTTCAGCTGTCAGCCAGATGTCCTCATGTTTAACTCAAGTCTGGAATATAAAACACTCCCAACTGAATCAAAGGCTGAAAGGTTTTCAAGTGCTGCAGCCTGTGTTGATTTTTTGTTTGGTTTCACCAATCTTAAGGATGAACATCCGACCAAACGTCTCTTCTTTGGTCTTAAAAGACAGTATTTGAAATTTCTTCTGCTTAGTCCAAAAGAAACTTTTGAAACCTAATTCTTACCTAAACTCATGGTTCCTTCATCCCCTTTAGTAAAAATGGAAGCAAAAAGACGTTTTAGTGTTTAACATTATGTCTGCATTGGTCTTTGCAAAACTAAAATGGACACTGTGTAATTTGACAGGTCTTGTTGGGAAACTAAGGTTGTAATTATGGGGTCCCGATACCAGTTTTTCCCAAACTAATAATGAATAAGAGTACTTCAATTTGGGTACTTGCTGATACCAAATACTTCCTGAATTAGAACCTAAACATTATATAATGACTAAAAACATTTTTTATATTTATAACAAAGTGTCTCTCCTTCCTTTATACTGGATCAAATCTAATATACAGCATATTATATACTGTTGCAATGTTTTAAAATAAAAAAAGATTTTATTTCAACTTGTATAAATTTCTTAAACATGGAACTGACAAACTTTTCACATCAAATGTAAACTATAACATTTAATGGACTATATCAGTATTTGACACTGGTATTGGTGTTGCTCCCAAATATAGGGTGTTTTGTACAACTAGTTGGGCACCACTAGTTGTAATTATTTAATTTGAAAAGGAAGAAACCAACCCCCCCCCCCCCCATATTGTCTAGAGAGTTGAAACTTTAGAATTAAAAGTGTTCATTTCTTTTTTTTTCACGTTATCTTTGGTTTTTATCCTTATCAGGATGCAAACTTCCTCATATGAACATATTTGGTTCAGTGAGATCAACAAATGAGAGACAAAAAGCATATTTTGATTTTTAGATGAATTATTAATCAGCTGTTTACTCTTAAATCTATTGAAAAACTAGAAAACATGTTTTTTATTATTATTTTTCATCCTTTATGTCATGCACACAGAGTTCTGCGATCCCTGGTTGAAACGACGGGGTTCACATTTCTCACTCAACATCGTGACTCTGAGAAAATGCCGTTCATGTAGGAATGTTTCAGAGTCTCACTAGACCTGAGGTGTTGTTCTTCCACATCCAGGGTCTCTGGTTTCAGAGTCTGGACTCGGTCAAAACCCCTWTTTTTTTTTTTTTTTTTTTGTCCTAGAGAGGGTTTTTTAAAAATAAATGCTTGAGTGTTTTGAAGCTGATTTTCAGGGTTTAGTGTTTCAGGGGGATAATGAAGCAGACCTGTGAGAAGCAACTGATTGTTTATTTCCAAGATAGCACCGGTCAACTCCCTGCAGAGGAATGCTTGACCAGCTCTGGGGAACACACAGTGCTCTTTTCTAATAAAATGTAATCACTAAAAGACTGGACATCGTTTTTTTTTTTTTTTTCACAGTCAACAAAGACGTTCTATTAGGGAAATCTAATGTGAAAATCTTTGAAGTTGACAGAATTTTTTCAATTAAATCCACTACATCTGTTTTGCACATGATCATTGTTAACCTTATGAGTTGATGAATGCCACTTGAAGGCTACCAAACATTATTGATACCAAGAACAGGTGTAGTTTAAACCACAAGGTTTTCTTAAACCTAAACAAGTCATTTAGTTCTCTCAACTCAATGTTTCTGAGACCTAAACCTGACCAAACAAAATATGTTTTCTGTTCATCTGTCCAACATAAATCATTAACTGCTTAAACATGTGCACTTATTAAAGCATGCTGAAAGGATGCAGCTGTGCATAAAATGGGATTTGTTTTACTCATCTGGGTCAAAAGAGTGTTGGCACTTGTCAGATGTCATCTTTATACTGTGTGAATAACAAATCACTTCAGTAAAATATTGCTGTGGTATTAAGAAGTGTGGCAACCAACAAGGTTAATTCATCGATATGCTAATTATCTTCCACTAGGGCATCATCTCTCTGATGCTGCTCATCCTCAGAGTTTTCTTAATTCAAGAGAAATCTGAAATAATTTTGATATTTTTTTAAATCTTGTTATAGTACATTTTTAGTTTTGTATGGTCTTTACTAGTTTCTTTTTACATCGAGGTTCTCACAATCTTTCATTTTTTGTAAATTCGTTTTCAACATTCTCAGAAAAATAGTAGCATATCAAATTTTACTGTGACTTTTGTTTTTAGCTGTGCTGTCTCTATGTGTCACTTACTGTATGTGCAAATGAAATGAAGTTAATTGTTGAAAAGTGGATTGATGTACCTTCTTCAGCTTCACTGATTTGTTCTTAGCACAGAGGTAGAATCAGGGGATGGAGCTGTCTTCTCCATAGCAGCAGAGGTAGCTACTGAGCTGATTCAATACATCACAAAGAAACCTTTAGACAGTCATATGACTGTCAAATCTCCAATTTGCAATCAAGCAGATATACTCCTTCAACTCACCAAATTTAAAACTTGAACAAAACTTATGTTCCTTTTATGGAAAACAAACAAAAAAAAAAACTAATGACAAACTGTCCTGATGCATCTCAGTAATCCAGGTAAAAAATCAAAAGGAAAAAAAAAATTGTATAGGTCCTCTGGACGGGTTCTTCTTTCTTCCAGCGGTCACTCTTTCAGAGATGAGGATGTTCTCATTCTTGATAGGGAGGAACGTTGGTTTGAGAGAGGAGTAAAAGAAGCCATTTTGTAAAGAAAGACCGTCCATCATTAAACAGAGGTGGGGGCCTCCGTTTTCAGCTGTCCCCCTCGTACAGCGCTGCCATTGGCAGTATCACTCCACCCCTGTTAACAATAATTAGGTGTGAACGATAGCCATGTGATGTGAGTATGAGTCACCTGTGAACGATGGCCATGTGATGTGAGTATGAGTCACCTGTGAACGATAGCCATGTGATGTGAGTATGAGTCACCTGTGAACGATGGCCATGTGATGTGAGTATGAGTCACCTGTGAACGATAGCCATGTGATGTGAGTATGAGTCACCTGTGAACCATGGCCATGTGATGTGAGTACCAGTCACCTGTGAACGATAGCCATGTGATGTGAGTATGAGTCACCTGTGAACCATGGCCATGTGATGTGAGTACCAGTCACCTGTGAACGATAGCCATGTGATGTGAGTATGAGTCACCTGTGAACCATGGCCATGTGATGTGAGTACCAGTCACCTGTGAACGATAGCCATGTGATG